GCATGAGAAAGAGTGGGGAGGGGCGTGGGGGAGGGCGCGGCCAGAGCCCCTATCTAGGAAGAGGGAGGGACCTCTGAGCTGGGGTTGCATGGCTGAGACCAAGGTGGAGGTGGGGCCAGCTCACAGGGCAGGGGACAGCCGAAGCCCCAGAGTAGGTGGGGAGGGCATGGCAGGGACCCACAGAGAGACGAGGCTGGCTGGGCAGCAGGGCCGTCGTGGGGGACGGACACCCCGACAGTGGCTCGGTGGGTGCCCTGCTCCGCTGGTGTCCTTGCCCGGGACACCACGATCGCAGGTTCTGCCTGGACACTAGGTAGGGACCTGTATCCACTGGGTGGCGAGGTAGGGTCAGGGTGAGCAGCGGCTGTTCTGGTGTTGGGGACACGGGCACCCCGCAGGGCCCCCGGGGGGTGGAGGTGGTAGGAGGCCGGCCGCCTGACCCTTACCCTCCCCAGGTGACGACGGCAGCGGCTCGGGAAGCGGCGGCGGCTGCCCAGATGACATCTGCGGGCGGAGGGACAGCAAGAAGGGCTCCAGCTCGCGGACCACCGCGTCGCACGCGCTCCCCGGCCTGTCAGAGCGGGAGGGGTCGTCGTCCGCCGCCGGCCGCCCCCAGCCCCGCACGTCCCTCCTGCTGCTGCTGCCCCTCACGGTGGCCCTCGCGGCCGGTGGGCCCCGGTGGCGGTAATGCCGCCTACCCCAGGGCCTGGCCGAGGGCGGACTTTGCCAAAACGCAGAACAGACACTATTTAATACTCTGGCGAGAGGGGCGTGGTGCCTGCACTGAGGCTGGGCGTGTGGGGGCCGTGTCCCAGGCCTAGCCTCGTTCCCTGGCTTTTCTTGTCCTAGGAGGCCCTCAGGTCAACGGGGAGCAAGTGTCCCCACAAGCCATGTATTTCAGGGACCTCGGGTACAGCGGCTGCCTCCTGTCTGCACGTGCCCTCCTGTCCCCCTGCGCTGTTGCCCATCCAAGCCCCGCTGCCCAGGAGCAAGAGCAGCCCCCCGCCGCTCGGAGCCCGTGCCTTCCTGCTCTCCTCCTGCTGCTGGGGGCTGGTCAGCGTCCACGCTCAGGATCCCCGGGGGCCCCTCTGCTCCCAGCTTCCCTAGCAGGCAAGGGGGCTTGAGGTTATGCATGACATCCTGATGCCCAGAATGGCAGCCCTAGCCTCGGGGGTCCCTCAGGGAGGGTGGCCTGTGGCCAGGACCTGTGTGATGAGCACGGATGAGGTCACTGCTGTTAGAGTGAGCCAGACTGCCCAGCCACAATGGGCTCTGCGTTCTGGGGAGTCCCTCACCCCAGGAGGCCAGCCTGGCTCTCTCTACCTTGTGTGCATGGAGACAGGCCTTGCGGAGGTCCACAGCTGAGCCAGGAAAGCCTGACCACGCTCTGTGCCCACCTGTCCTGCCAAGGGCCAGTGCTCAGAGCTCACACACAGCACAGCCGGGCACTACAGGCCGAGGGACATCTGCCCAAGCCCCTGCCCTCCCTTGGGGACAGGACTGAGCAGTGTCCCCAGTTAAGGGCTCTTACAGACGTGCTTCCATTGACCCCAACACCTTGGACCCCCAGCTCCTCCCAAAGAGCTCTCCAGGGAGCGGCCACTCCTTGACCTTGACATCCTTCCTGCCCCAGATCAGCTGGGTTCACTCAGACTGCCTCAGCCCCTCCCCCCAGCCTGGCCAGCTCCCTCCTCCATGGCCTTAGCTGCTGCCCAGCCCGGGAAAGGAGCAACATGTCCCTGCAGGGCAAGGGTCAGGGGTCCAAACCTGCATGAGACCAGAGGCCACTTAGCTCTGCTTAGCTTTGCCTCTCTGAGCTGGAGGGCACGGTCTCTGCACTGTAGGTAGGTGCCCTGGCCTGGGGCAAGTCTTTCCTGGAGTTGGATTTCTGTCTCCACAGGGCGGTTCGCCTGGTAAGGCTGGCTGTCCAGGTCAGGGGGCTGCGCCTGGGTCCTCCTTCTCACAGGCTATGTTTCCTGCCTACTTGGAGGGACCCCTCCCTGGCACTGTTTGTCAGCAAGTGACGTGTGTTCTTGTATGAATAAAGGACGGAGATGGACAGTGGAGCCACCTCAACCCGAGGGCCTTGCAATTCCTCCCCCCCAGTCCCCCCTCCACCACACCCACCCCGTGTTACAGCCCCACCCAGCCTCCTCCAGGTGTCAGCCTGCCTCAAGAGTTCTGCAGTCCCACCCACCTTCCTCTGAGGTGCTACAGCCCCTCCCAGCCTCACCTAGAAGCATTATAGCCCCACCCACCTCAACACAGTGACTAAGGAGGATAGGAGGAGAATTGATGCCTTTGAGCTGTGGTGCTGGAGAAGAATATTGAGGGTACCATGGACTGCTAGGAAAACAGATTCATCCTGGAAAGGGTTTAATCAGGAAGCTCCTTGGA